AATTCTCCATGGGGCTCTTGCATTTCTGCACATTCTGCAAGCGAGGCACTAACTGCCCTTTTGTTTTGGACTATCTTTGCAAGGATATTTGTATAGTGAGTAGACTTGAAAGATAGTCTTCCTAGCGCAAAGGGCAGATTTGCTTACTGTCCAATATGAATAAAGAAGTCTCCCTTGGGTTCAAAGACATTTGCTTGCGGTCCATTATCCAAGACTCTGGCTTTCTAAACAGTCTCGGCTATGATGCAAACTCACTGTGTGCACAGCACTTAGCTGGGCCACTTCATGTCACCCCTTGTGGGACTTGGGAGACAAGAAGGAAACGACACAAACCTAATCCTTATGCTGCCTGCTATGCTGTAAATCCTTTGTCTCTGAGGTGTTCAGGAAATCTTACTCCAGAATATGGTACTTTAACATATTGAATATTTTGACCTGAAGGTATTTGAAGAATGACATAAACAGGAAGGATTTTCTGATCTTCCCCTTAAGTAGATTATAAAAACTTACGTGAGAGGCACCCTCCCCATACCCAGGGGAAAGGAGCATCCTTATCTCAAAAGGAAGGGACACAGAAGAATCTGAATAAAGAGGCCTTGCTCAGTTCCCCCTGGTTTATTATACTTAGCTCATACCCTCTCTGTCCTATCATATCACAACTTTCCTCTCTTCATCAAATCTACCATAAAAATACTCAGGCTTAACCACTTCTTCAGCCTTCACTTTCTTATGAAGACTCCTGCTGTCACATAAAACTTTTATGAAATAAATTTATATACCTTTCTTTTGTTAATCTGTCTTTTGTTATAGGGACCCAAACCAATGAATCTCATATGGATAGGAGGAAAGATATTGTTCCTCCCAAACATCTCTGACCCGGGAGGCTCATATCTTTCACCAGCATCAGTGAAGGTGTGGTAGGCTTGACTCTCATCAGACCACAAAACACAAGTGCAAGAACAGTAGTCAAAAATACTTCTTGAACAACATCCTATGGCAAAGGAGTAAATTGCCTATGCTCACATACTCTATATTGGGCCACATTCTTTGGAGAAAAGCAATATAAAAACATATAGCAAAGATCTGCTAAATTCTACCTCTAGGAATTTATACTAAGTATCTTACATCACGTTCCTGGGAAACAATGTTTCCTGAAATAGAGTTATATGCATAAAATTTAGTAGGAATGTGGTTTGGGAGTCGCTCCTTTTTGGAAGTGAGGATGGTGGCGATGGGACTGGGCAGAGAGAGATGACCTGTAATGTGGCTACACTAAGGCCTCAGTTACCTATGAGGAACTCTGGAGTTAAGAAAGTCTTTCAGTTGTTTAAGGTTGAGGCAAAGCTGCCAGACTGTCAAGCTCTATACAGTCTTGTCACTGGCTAAGGCTGTCCCCTTGAGGAAGTGTTAACACTGAATATCCCTCACTGAATTACAGTCGAATACAGCTGACATAAAAAATGGGAACCTCTAGATTTTCAGAGCATATATACATGCAGTCATTTCACAGATAGTAATACGAGGGGGACCCAAAAAACCGGAAATGTTTTTTGGAGGCTGGGTCCCCTGTAGTACAGGCTTACTCTGCCAGGTAAGTGTTCTAGGAACCCACTGGCATTAGTGTAACAGCTAACATTGTTGTGAGAGACTGTGTTTGGCTTCAGTGAAATTTTTTTAGAGATTTTTTGAACACATTTGCCCATTTGATGATGGGTAATTTACAAGTGCACCTGTCTACACCATGCTGAATGTTCAGCAGTTTTTGACCAAAAAAGGCACGATCTCATCCTCCCTATTCATACAATCTTGCCCCATGCATCCGTTTTTTTTTTTTTGTTTCCCTGGATGAAAAAAGTCCTGATGTGGAAGAGGAAAAACAAAAAACAGCAGAAGACTAAAGGCATCAACATTGATAAGTTCAAAAATTGGTTTTTTTTTTTTTTTGAGTTGGAGTCTCACTCTGTCACCCAGGCTGGAAAGCAGTGGCACACTCCCAGGCACCACAGCCTCGACCTGCTGGACTCCGGTGATCCTTCTGTTTCAGCCTTCCAAGTAGCTGGAACTACAGGCATGCGCCACCAAGCCCGGCTAATTTTTTTGATTTATTGTAGAGATGAGGTCTCACCAAGTTGCCCAGGCAGGTCTCGAACCCATGGGCTCAGGCAATTTACTCACCTTGGCCTCCCAAAGCATGGGATTACAGGTTGAGCCACCAAGCCCAGCCCAAAACTGTTTTAAGCAGTGGCAAAAGAGTCTCAACAGGTGTACTGCATCAAATGGAGAGTACTTTGAAGGTGATTGAAGCTTAAATATGTAAGAATAAATACAACATTTAAAATAAATACATTCTTGGTTTTCTTGGGTCCCCCTGGTAGTTCAGATAACACTAGCAAAAATAGATTCACAAATACAAATGAGTAAAACAGAATGGATGAATTTCAGATATCCAAATACAAGGAAATACACATACTACCAATGTATTTTATGCCTGGCACCATGGTGATTGTTTTATATATATATTATCCCGTTTACTTTTCATAATGAATGGGACAGGTACTATTATCATACCCAGTATACAAATGACAAAAGACAGGTTAAGCAACTCATCCAAGGTGACAAGTTAAGCAAGTGGCAGAGCTGAGCATCAAACCCGGGTGTGCCTGACTCCAGAGCCCATGTGTTTAATTAACCAATCCATTCCATAGTCTTCCTACTTAGGGTGCTAAATAACAACAATAATACCACCACAACACTTATATACCAAGGACATACCAATCACTTAAACCTCCAGAACTACTTCCATCTTCTCCCTATTTTATGGTCTGGGAGGCTGATTTGAATGTATGAAAGGGCTCCTTTCCTGTAAGATGACCCCGGGCTGGTTATGCCCTTGAATGAAGGTCACAGCTCTAATAAGACACTCTCTTCACAAAGCCATATAGCTCAGTCTCCAGATTCAGTAACCACTGCTTTCGCTTGATCCTCCAGGCACGGAGTGAAAATTACTCCCACTACACAAGTCACAAGGTACTGCACTGCCCCAGGAGCTCTTCTATGTCATACCTACACTTGAATAGTCTCTGTTATGCTCTCCTCAATCTGACAGTGTCATCTTTTCCTGTCAACATCCTGAGTTGATAGACACACCTATAAGTAAACAGGATGCTGAGTGATGGCAAAAGTTTATTATTTACCTTCCCAGGAAAGGAATCTAAAGGTCATTCATTTTCTGGGAACAATATGCTGTGTTGGGTGGAAAAAAAATACTGAAAACAAGATAGAAACAGTCCCTTCAGTATACAACTGGAAAAAATACTCTGTACACGTTTAGTCAAGGCATAAAATTATAGCTTCTTATCAGCAATGGTTCCTTCCTGTCCCTAATCCCCATCTAGGGCATCATTTTCTCTCCCCTCACCAGCAACTTGCTTCCTTTTAGAAGTAGAGAAAAAAAGATATCTTCCTCCCAACCCTCCTGGTAAGACATGCTTTCTATCTTTAGAGAAAGATATCTAACCTTCCAAAAAATGTCCAGTGGTCAGCCAAATGAACACGAGAATAGCATATGCTAAAGCAAAAAACAAATGATCAGGTACAAAGTGTAAAGACATAAATGTGAGCAAGCAGAATCTTGAGTCATTTGACAAAAGTTTAAGTAAAACTACCTTACTAAGCTAAGAAAAGTATCAGGGAAAAATAAAAAACAGCTTTTGGAAGGATTCAGATAAACCAATGGATGATGTAAATCCATCACTACTTCATTCAAAATTGTTTACCAACCACCAGCCAAGCTTGAAGGTGGATGAGAAAGTCAAGTTTGTTATCCCAGTTTCAGCACTGACTAGCTGGGTAACCCTGGACAAGTAACCTTCTCTTATGCTTTAGTTCCTCAACTACAAAATAGAATGACAGGATGCAGCTCTTAAGTTTTCTAGGAGGATCTGACACAGATCTAGCTTAGGCACTGGCAGAATGGAAAATTACTGAGCAGGAGGTTAAGAAACTTCTGACTTGTAACTGAAGTGAAACTGACAAGATTTCCCCTATTTTGTAAGGAACACAAAACTGACACACACAAAACCAGATAAACACCAGCACTTCAGACATTTCCTCTTGGAGATCACCTACTCTCTCCTGAGTATGTACTTTTGGTAGTAAGTAAAGAAAGCTCCTTCCTTTACTTTCTGTGACTTGTTCTTAAATTCTTCCCGGCGATAGAGTCAAGAGCCTGGTCCTGGGCACAGCTGAAGATTGCAGCTGTGGGGAAAGACTTCCAACTTCCCAAGTAGTTAGCTGTGGCAGTGTGCTAGGCCTCGCTGGGAACGCTGTCTCTGGCTTGCTGAGGCGATCCTCCCTAAGCCTACCACCATCAGATTCAGAAATTAAGGATGTTAAGTGCTTACCTCAGTTCTTGGTGCACACTAGAGTCAGTAAAAGTTACCTAAAGTAAATGGTATTAGAAAGTAGTAACAACTAAGGAAAAAAAAAAGAAACAAAAAGCTCCTGACCTGCCTTAAGAAGCTCAGTCTAATGAAGAACTCTGTTACTGAAACAAACTGGAGAGGCCTGAAGAACACACCTAAATTTGAACCTTAATGTGGTAGTGAGCACACTGTGGCTTCCCATACAAGGTACCCTGTTATCAGAGACATGTGGGCTAGGTCCCTTTATTCAACTTTAAAAAAAGGACAAAGTCGGGCAACCTCTCAGCTTCCCTCCCTCTGTGGGAGCTTTTCTATTCTCTTAATAAATCCTGCTTTAAAAAAAAAAAAAAAAAGGACAAAGTAATAAATAATGGTCTGGGGTCAGTAAAAATATATAAACCCATGTAGGACTTTTAAAGGTTTAACACTTTTTAGAAAAGTATTTGCAAGGCTAACTCAAGAAACTGAAGAGAAACTGTTTTATGGGCTTTATGATACTGGAATGATGAGTCAAATTTATAAGGATTTCCCTCTGAATTTCCCAACCATCATCAATATAAATTCTAATAAACCTACTCTTTCTCTTTAAGCTCTGGCAAATCCAAATACCAGTGTTCTTCACTAATAATTTTCTTTTCTTCCTCTTCCAGTTGTTTCTTGGTTTCTGAGTCCAGTCCCCTTTGCATGAACTGTCAAAACAAAACAAAATCAGTGTCAACAACTAATTTTCTCATCATATTTCTGAAGAAAAATAACTTTCTTCTTCCACTTGCTCTCCTTCATTTCTCCATGGATCCCATCTCAAGATTGAGGGTAGGGCAAGTGATCAGTTTTGCTCGACCCTTCTAACTTCAGACTAGAACGAGAGGTATTGTGCCAGAGCACACAAGAAAGCACAATGTGCTTCATTTGGAAAACTTTAAAAAAATAGTTAACATATTTTAGTTTTTCTGATTCAATGAAAGAGGAAACACAAAAAACTGTATTCTATAAGTATCACATTAGACATTTGTTTTACATAACAGCCAATAAAGAAGGGCTAAGACAAAAGACAGATCCAGAGTAAAAAAAAAAAAAAAAAAAAAAGGATGAAAGGACAGGTAGGTAGAGACAGAAAGAGGGGCAGACATCACACTAGAGGTTGAAAGCAGACTGAGAGACTCAGCCCTTTTCAATCTCCTGCTCACTGACAGAGCCCACTGGCCTTTACACCTGCTAATCTTGGTTTGGAATGCTGTTCTCACTCTCTTCCACAAGGCCAACTCCCAGCCCTTCCGACATAGGTAAAACGATTCCACTTCTGCGAAGCCATCCCTGACAGATGCAAGTAAAATCAAGCGCCTCTGTCCTAGATACTCCCATGGTTCCCTCCAACAGGGTCACCACATCTTAACTTTTTTGAGCACCTGTCTCTTCTGGAGACCTTTAGGGAAGGGACGACGTCTGGGTCATGTCCTTCATCAGTCCCAGTCTGATGACTGATGCATTGTAAGAGCTCAATATATGCAGAAGCGTTTTGTCATTGTGTGAACATCACAGAGTGAACACAATGAATGAAGTGAATACATGTAGAAGCACGTATTGAACAAAGCTACATCTTTAACACTTTACACTTGGACGTGCCCTCTGAGGAGACATCATAAATCTAGCAAGCCACTTGAATGTCCCTTCTCAGGGGACATAAAGAGAGTGCTGGTGACCATACAGGATAAACTTATGCCAGCGTACATTTTTCGAAAATGTGTGTTTCCTTGAAGTTTTCCATTCAAATTGCATGAAAAAGCAAATAAAGAGATGACATAGATACTGAGATATGTGTAAAAAAAATCAGCTGGTATTATACAGAAAGAGAATGTGTGAAGTGCTTTCATAGTGGTACACAGGCTGGACAATAAATTATGTATTATTAACATGGGAGGAAGAAAATGAGACTGCACTATCTGATTGAATAGAAAAACATCAGGTTTCAGAGGACGTCAAATAAATTACTACTGCACAACATGTATCAATGAACCTGCAATGCATGTCAGTGAGTGTTTCACACATTACCACATATTAGAAAAATGTAAGATATAAAATTTTGATTTATTTGTCAAAAATTCCATTATAAGCCAGTGTCATTACAATAAAGTAATTGGTTCCAACACTACATTATTTAATATGAATGAAGTGATTCGTTTTTTACTATTTTGTAACAAAGTGTGGTCGAGATGCTGGTAGGTGATCTGTGATATGTCTCCAAGTGCAAAGGGTTAAGCTGGGTCTTGTTTTAGACCTTTCCTGAAATGCTGGTGAACTCTTCCATTGCTCTTTACTCTCAAATCTGCAGAAGCTTGACTTGCAATTTCATGTTAGTAAAGAAAATATGAGTCCTGCTGCTAATCTCTCCCTAGCACAAACAATAGCTGTATTTCCTCAGGGGGCAGGTAAACAAACTTAAGAAGTTTACCTCAGCAAAAGGATAAAGTACCAACATTGGAGAAATTAAAATGAGAAAACACTCAGGGGCCTCCCAGCAGTTAGGTTTTGGGTTTCACTGGTTTCCATGTATCCCCATTTCTTTCCCTTATTCAGGCCCTGTATGTCTTCTCTCCATTCCAGCTCTTCTAAAAATAAACAAAAACTGGCCAGGCTCATTGGCTCAGCCTGTAATCCAAGCACTTTGGGAAGCCGAGGCAAGTGGACTGCCTGAGCCTGCAGGTTCAAGACTAGCCCGGGCAATGTGACAAGACCTCATCTCTACAATAAGTAAAAAAATTAGCCAGGCGTGGTAGCATGCACCTGTAGTTCTGGCTACTTGACAGGCTGAGGTGGAAGGATCGTCGGAGCCCAGCAGGTCAACGCTGGTGTGGCTGTGAGTGTGCCACTGCACTCTAGCCTGGGTGACAGAGTGAGACTCCAACTCAAAAACAAAAATTAACACAAACATTCTTAGGCCCAGGGCTTTATCAATGACTATTAAGTTAAATGGCAAAAGTTTAAGAATGCTCACAAATAAAACAGTCATATGCCACATGATAGGGTTTGTAGAGGGATGGGAGGAGGTTGTAGTTGAAACAACTCATCATGTAAACCTTGCAAATGGAGCACAGAATTGCAACGGCCCAAAAACCTAACACTCTGCTCTAACAGTGTCCTGGTACTAATTGCTTTACTGCCAATATCTGCTTTCCTGAGATCACATCCCAAAGTTATGTGACTGGTAACAGCCTGGTACTGACTGTCAGTATTTGCTTTCCTAAGCCTGCATTTCAGAGACAAGTGATTAACAACATCCTGATAGGGACTAGTTTACTTTAGTACAGACATCTACACTTCAATGCTGTGGGACCAGCAGCCCCCAACAGTACCAACATAGGCATCTTAAGGCCAGGCAACCGACAGTTCAAACCCCCTAAACTGCTTCTCAGAGCCTGATAAGCCTCGACTGGGGTTTTATAAGGGGCCTGCAAGAGAACAAAGCTGCTGGTTCTTCTTTAGGGCAGCCTTTCTTTCCTTTCCCTCTAATAAATTTTCTTTAATCACTCGGCTCACCCTCTTTTCTTCTGCACTTGCCTTATACCACATAACAACGTGTTGGCCAATGATGGAATGCATATATGACAGTGGTCCCACAAGATTACAATACTTATTTTTTCTGTACCTTTTCTGTGTTTAGATACACAAATACTTACCATTGTGTTAAAATTGCCACAGTATTCAATGCAGTCACATGCTGTACAGATGAGTAGCCTAAGAGCAACAGGCTATACCATAAAGACTCAGAGTGTGGCCGGGCGCGGTGGCTCAAGCCCATAATCCCAATACTTTGGGAGGCCAAGGTGAGAGGACAGCCTGAGCTGATGGGTTCACGACCAGCCTGGGCAATGTGGTGAGACTTCCTCTCTACAATAAATCAAAAAATTAGCTGGGTGTGGTGGCGCACACCTGTAGTTCCAGATACTTGGAAGACTGAGTTGGAGGATTGCCTGAGCCCAGCAGGTCGAGGCTACAGTGGCCTTGAGTGTGCCACTGCACTCCAGTCTGGGTGACAGAATGAGACTCCACCTCAAAAAAGGAAAAAAAAACTAAAAATTGACAATGAATTTACTCAGATTTCACCATCTTACATGCACTCTGTGAAGACAATTGCTAGGTTGTATGGAAATCGTATAGACTGGTAAGAAACTGTGAAGCTGTTTCCTACAGCTGGTGTACCATTTTACTTTCCCACTAGCAATGTATAAGTGATCAGTTTCTTCACATCCTAGTCAGCATTTGATGTTATCACAGCCATGTGTCACTTAATAACAGAGATACATTCTGAGGAATGAGTCAGTAGGCAATTTTGTCACTGTGTGAACATCACAGAGTGAACTTACACAAACCTAGATGGCATACCTAGTCTTCTTCTTTTTTTTTTTTGAGTTGCAGTCTCACTCCGTTGCCCAGGCTGGAGTGCAGTGACAAACTCACCACCACCCCAGTGTCAACCTGCTGGGCTCTGGCAATCCTTTCGCCTCAGCCCTCCAAGTAACCAGAACTACAGGTGCACACTACCATGTCTGGTTAATTTTTTATTTATTGTAGAGAAGAGGTCTCCCCAAGTTGCTCAGGCTGATCTTGAACCCATGGGCTCAGGCAATCCACTTGCCTTGGCCTCCTGAAGTGCTGGGATTATAGGCTGAGCCACCAAGTCCAGCCATCTTTTTTTTTTGAGTTGTAGTCTCACTTCGTTGCTCAGGCTGGAGTGCAGTGGCACGCTTACAGCCACCCCAGCATCCACCTGCTGACTCCAGCAATCCTTCTGCCTCAGCCTTTCAAGTATCCAGAACTATAGGCATGCGCTACCATGCCAGTTAATTTTTTATTTTGTTGCTGTCCAGGCTGGTCTCAAACTTGTGGGCTCAGGCAATCCTCTCACCTCAGCCTCCCAAAGTGCTAGGATTATAGGCGTGAGCCACCGCGTTTGGTCTAATTTCCTGTTTCTATATTGTACTCTGGTGATATAAGATGTTACCACTGGGGAAGATGGAATGAAGGATGCACAAGATCTCCCTGCTCGTTTTTTTGCAACTTCTTCTGAAACTATCATTCTTTTAAATACAAAGTAAAAGAAAACAAGTTTGCAAATGATCTAGTGTTTTGTAGCCCTCATTCATTTTACCTGTGTCTACATCCTCATCTCAGGAAAGAACTGCAATTTCTGGAATGTGTATTCTTTACTTTCCAGTCCTTTTGCCTTTGTTACTTAAGATGTGCCTATCTTCTGCCTGGTAAAATATTCTCTGGTGAAAGTACAGAGGATGTGTCCTACGGTAAGTCTTCTCTGGTATTTATCCAGGCTCTTTCTAGGCCTGTTCCTATAAAAGAACCTTTCTAAGACAGCCTTATAAACACGGGATTATTGTTCATTATGCTTCTTCTGTGTCTTCCAAAAGACTGTGATTCTGAAAAGTAGACCATGACTTGTTTGTCTTGTATTACTGGTACTAAGGCTGCACCTGGGATACAAGAAGAGTTCAAGAAAGGTTCTCTGACTGTAAGTGAGCCTAGATATCTTATTTTTCCAGGTTATATTTCCTTAAATGCAGATGCCTCATTTTATCACATATTATTCGTGGTAAAACTCACTAATACTGTGGGTGTGAACAACTGTCTAAAGTTAATTTCTTCCTTCTGAACTCCAGAGTCAGATCTTTAGTCTGAGCCCTGACCACCAAGCGCATCATTTGGTTTATTCCAAGAGCTAAAATAACTGCCAAAATCCTTTCAATGCCAGCTTGGCTGATCCACCCCATTTTTTTTGAAACCGATGTGATTATAAACCTTTACACAAAAGCAAATTCTGTTCAGTAAAGATTCAAATTTTGCTAATATGCATGAAAGAAGTACTTTACAAACTGTAAGTTATGCTACAATTTGCCCTCCACACTCATTCACCCTATTTACCCCTACTTCCATTACAGCTCAACTCCATTAATCATTGTAATATGTAATAAAATAATTATACAACTCACCATTTTTAATAAAGAGTACAGAAATGGTAAATAAGATGATGGGCGAGCCACGTGCAGACTAAAATGTCAGATTCTGACTTAAACCCTGCCATTCAAATCTTGCACATGTAATATTTACTCTCTAATTGTTCATAACATTACTTATAGCTTCCTTCCTTTACTTGGGAATTCCACCTCTATAAATATTACATATAGGCCAGGTGGGTTGGCTCATGTCTAAAATCCCAGCACTTTGGGAAGCTACGGCAGGAGAGGACAGCTTGATCCTAGGAGTTCAAGACCAGCCTGTGCAACATAGTGAGACCTTGTCTCTATAAAAAAGACAAAAATTAGCAGGGTATGGTGCACGTGCCTGTAGTCCCGGCTACTTAGGAGGCTGAGGCTGAAGGATTCCTGAGCCCAGGAGGTTGAGGCTGCGGTGAGCTGTGATTGTGCCACTTCACTCCAGCCTGGGCCACAGAGTGAGACGCCGACTCAAAAAACATGACATCTAGCAGTCTGCCTCTCTCTGTAAGTGGTGTTCAGTGACTGGCAGAACAGGGTAGTAATAAAGAGTAAGGGCTCTGGAGCCAGACTGAATTCCAGTGCAGTCTACACTACTCGCTAGCTGTGTAACTTTTGGCAAGTTACTTGCTTCTCTGTTTTAGTTGCCTCAGCTGTAAAAGAGGGATAATGGCTGTAGACACCTCAAAGAGTTATTATTTGAACTACATGGATTAGTTAACATATCAAAGTAAATAAAACAGTGTCTGGCACAAAAAAAAAGCACTATAAATGTTTGCTATTTGTCACATTGTTCCTCGAGCTCAACAGTCTCCCACTGCTTATACGACAAAGGAAAATATTCTTAAGTTGGCCTAAAATTCCCTGCATGTTGTCACCCCTGACTACATTTCCAGCTCCATTTCTTGTTACTTGCCTTCCAGACATACTGAATTATTTTTAGTTCTTGGAAATCTCCATGCTTGGCTTTTCATTCTTGCCTCTCAGACTTCTGAACTCGCTTTTCCCTCAGTTTAGGACGCTCTACTTAAGGACCACCGCTCGCGAGAAACCCAAGTAAGTTCCCAAGGCTTTTACCCCCCAATTCACTTAGTATGCTGTACCTTTAATGCTTGTTTACGTGTATGCAAGCTCCTATCCGACTGCAGGCCTCGTGAGAAAGTCTGCCTAGTTCATAATCTGGTTTCCAGTGACTAATTCAGAGCAGAAGCTGAGTGAATGAATGAACGCCAGAAGGGGAAAACCTTCGGGGCCTCTCTGGTGTCCCCCGTACACCCACCGCCTCGGACCGGGTCAGGACGGGCAGACCGAGTGCCTCTACCGCCCAACTGGGCTCCCCCAGCGTCCCCGCACCTTCATGCGCAGCAGGTTCTTGGACAACTTGGTCTTGCGCTCAGCCGCCATGGTAGCCCCAGCCCGGCGCCGCGCTCCAGCCACTAACCCCGCCGCACATGCGCGCGGCTTCATGCGTGGCTGCGTCGCTTACGTAACGCGCGTCACCCCTCCCCTCCGCCCCGCGGCCCCGCCCCTGTGTCTGGCGGTCCGGCGCGTCTCGGGCTCACACGGCGTCGCTTCAGGGAGCGCTGGCTTGTCAGGGAAGCTCCGGTAAGGGCGCCGGATGGTGGCACGGAAATGACAGCGACCTGTCGTCGATGGGCAGACCCTAAAGAGACCTAAATCGGAAGAGGCTCCAGAGCTTGACCGCTGCTCGCAGGGGGCCCCCTTCCCCGGGGCGTCGGCCTGGTCCCCTCTGAGCCCAGCCCCCCACCCTGGACCCCGCTTCTGCCCTCGCCGCCCGGACTCGGTCATCCTCTGAGATTGCCACCTTACCTGCTATCCGCCCGAACCCTTCATTTAATTTTTTGTTTTTGAGTTGGAGTCTCACTCTGTCGCCCCGACTGGAGTGCAGTGGCCGCTCCC